AACTGTATAATTCAAATTTCTTAGAAAAATAATTGGCAAATGAATCAATGCAAAGTGATTATCTGCACTTCACACCCTTTGTATCACACACACACACACACACACACACACACACACACACACACACACACACACACACACACACACACACACACACACACACACACACACTCTCCTACAGAGACAGAAATACTGCATGTCATGAGAGAGATTCTTCATCACGTCCTCCTGACACTGCAGAATGTTCTGTGCATCGTAGCAGAATGAGGACATTGTTTATGTGTGAGTAATGTTGTTTGTTGGACATATGTTTACAGCCAGCTCTGTGTTTGTTTGTTGAGGTTTCAGCTTTGACCCACAACATAGAATCAAAATTATCTGTATTTTATACATAACTTGTCCTTTTATGGATTTTTATAAATGGGTCTAATGTAATCCTTTGCTTTCTGGATTATTCCCCGAGTGCATGCAATTATATTTAAATGTTTAAAATCCCTGAGGTGCGTGTCCTGACTTAATATTTTTCTTCCTCTTTCCTCCGTGTGTCCACAGTCCAGCCGTCTCATGGCAGTGCTGCAGCAGCGGCTGCTCAGCAGGGGGGCTACGAGATCCCGGCCCGCCTGAGGACCCTGCACAACCTGGTGATCCAGTACGCCTCGCAGGGCCGCTACGAGGTGGCCGTGCCGCTCTGCAAACAGGCCCTGGAAGACCTGGAGAAGACCTCTGGACACGACCACCCAGACGTGGCCACCATGCTCAACATCCTCGCCCTTGTTTACAGGTCGGTTTACCAAATCATTTATCTCGGGGCCCGGGTTGCAGTTGTGGTTTTGGAAATGGGGTCCTGAACATACAGCAGTGCAGGAGTTTATCTGCAAAACCACAGGGGGGCTTATATAACTGAGAATGCATATAAAGCCAGAATGCTTCACCTTGATTTTTGGTTTAATTTTCAATTGTTTAATCAGTTTAGGGGGAATATTTCATAGATTTTTAACACATGGCAAGTTTAAGATAATATATTTGTTCTCTGTCAAGTCCCTTTGATGATAAATCAAACAATTGCAGTCAGTGCTAGGACTAGTTTTGAATTACTCCTCTGTTTCTTCACCCTGTTTGCACCATGAAAACAAGTCTTTACTAGCTTGTAAATCTTTAAAGCACCAGGCTACTCTTGACTATTTTACAAGCAGCTCCAGGACTTCTTATTTGAGTAGAAGCCTGTTAGTGAAAATTGTGATAATGTTTTGGTAGTTTTCAATGAAAGGAGTGTTTTCAACCCTGCTGCTCTCCTATTCAAATTCAAAAACCCTTAAAATCCTACTAAAATGTGGCTTTTTACCACCGAGTAAGATGTGATAATGGTAACAGCATGTTGTCTGTTTGTCACCATCACAACACAGTGGCATGTCCCTTGAAACCTCTTGCTAACAACCCTCAAAGCATTGTGGGACAGGCTTCTAATATAGGACCTCCCCAGCGGTCGTTGGATGCCTTTCTACGTCAGAAGTGGAACAAAGCAAACACAGCAGACGCAGCCAAAAGATTTACAGTACCGTAATAGAATCGGGGAAGTGTTGATTTCCCAGCTCAAGAAGAAAGGAAGAAAAGACTCAAGTGTTTTACAGGAGTTGGACCCCTTGGTTTCTTACCATCACAAATCTTATCCATTGAATAGTGAGTGCAGTGACTAGTCAGGAGAGAGAGAGGGTCGCCTTGTTGTCAGCTGTTTGTTGCATTGACTGTGGGAACTGCTGCAAAGCTATTTGGACCTTGTCGCCTGAAAATAATGGGCTGTTAGTGGAAGTTGTTAGCATAGTTTATGTTTCTTTTCTTTGTGTGCTTGTCAGTCCATCTCTGTCTGTTTTTCCTGTCTCACTCTGTCTGCTTCTGTCTGTTTCAGGGATCAGAACAAATATAAGGAGGCAGCCAACCTGCTGAATGATGCTCTGGCCATCAGAGAGAAGACCCTCGGCCGGGACCATCCAGCTGTAAGTGCATCTGTCTCTACATAACACCCAGAGATGTATCTGAATTATAGTCATCTAGAGTTGTTATCCTGTATTTTAAATGAACGTAGTAGTTTGTAGGGTGGTTTTTCCTTACATTAAGGTACAGAATAGTACATAAAATAGCAAATACTATTAAATAAATACTCATAGAAACATTTAAACCTAACAAAAAAAGTAATACTTTAGCAACGTGACCCATGTGTAGGCCTAACAATAAAGAGATAATTATCATTTCTGAAGAGCATTTTATACATTTTTTTAGCTGAGAGTTAGAGGACAAGATTGTTGCCACTAATGTTTGTATGGTAAATATGAAGCTGAAGCAATTACATGCATTGCTGAGCTAAGCATACAAACTAAAAACCGCTAGCCTTGCTCTACAGAAGCCTACCAGCACATCCAAAAATCTCTAATTACTATGTTTTACCTCGTTTATTTGATCAATACAATAATTGAAGCTTAAAAAAAAACATTTGTGATTTTGTTAGAGTTTATATGCCGTTGCTTATGGCCTAGTTTTGTATATTTTTGCTAAAGCCAGGCTAGCTATGTCCAGTTGTTTTTATGCTAAGCTAACTGGTCGCTGTGCTGCTTTATTATAACTGTACTAACAATAAATTGGTTTTGATCTTCTCGTCTCACTCTCATAAAGACAGCAAATAAGCCTATTCCCAAAATGTCAAACTATTCTTTGAAAATAAAGAGCTCTAAAAATTGATTTCTTAACCCTTTAAACCGAGTTAGTACATTAATGTAAAAGAAAATAAGACTTTATCTTGTTAGACACTGACACTGTTATTACCCATACCCTTTTTTATTCACCTATTTTTGGCTGCTGCAGTGTCCTGGTTTCCCCCTCAGAAGACCAATACAATTCATTTAAAAACATTTACCCTGTTCCCCCTCAGGTAACGCATATACCAATGTCTGAATGACTGTTTTGAGGCATTTATCATTATTAGAGAGCCCGTGAAGCTAGAGTAAGTTTCAGAGTTGCTCGTTGAACTCAAGGATCCAATATACTTGTTGGAAAATAAGTTTTTATAAAAGTGTATTTCTGAACATGGGTAGCATCTTATCTAAAAACAGCTTTAACTTGTTTACAGTTAGAATTTCCATTAATCGATCATTTGCATTTTACATCATTTGTATGTAATGCCTTACCTAATACCTAAGATTTCTCCATTTTAGACAACATCAATAACAACAATTTTGTTCTCCGGAAATACACCTCGTAAAGTTTTAATGTTTAATGCTCCTCAGACGATCTAAATTATTCATTTGTAATCACACTTTTCTCTTCCAAACATCATTTCATATATCTTTCCAGGGTTGTGACTGCAGGCCAGGACTGCACACGGCAGATTCCATAAATATTGAACACACTGTTTTTCTCAGAGCCCATTACCTTGTGTTTGTCAGTGTGAGTGTAAACATGCAGCAGGTCGACTAACTGTGTTAACCCCAGCAGGACTGTGTCTCTGTCTGGACCTCCATCCCTCTCTACTTTGTGAAACTGAGGTTAGCCCTCCCCACCCCCCCTCTCCCACCTCCACCCTCCCATCCTGCCAGCAGGCCCTTATCTTTTCTCTTCGAATTTGTTTTTTAATGATTTCATCATCAAGAAATCTTAGTTTTGGCAACAATATAGCCAGTTATGTGAAACAAATTCCTCACACCTTTCACTTTGAATCCCACCTATTTCGAATCTTCTTTATATCTCGTTTTTTTTCCTCTGTGCCATTTCAAAAGTTAGATATTTAGAAGATCCCATCTAGGTGATCATTAACAAACCTAATGTTGAATTCTGCCTATTAATGCCTGAATCAGGTTCAAACCTCACAATCTTTCCACCAACACACATACTTTATGTTTACATAGCAACTAGTTGGGTGGTCTGTAGCTTTGCCAGTTGGGCGGCAGGTCGAGGTTCACTCTTGGCATGGTGAAGACTGAATTCTAGGAATGTGCATTGTCACCTTCCTGGTGAGGGAGGTTTGAAAGGTGGAGGTTAGTGAACCGACATCCTCGGACAGACTGTAGTCTTTCCAGGGGAACGTATGGAAATAGTTAAGGGCTCCCAGCTCAGTGCTGCTGTGCCCCAAAGAGCAAGAAGGTCAGAGACAAGAAGCTTCTTATTGTTGTTCTTTCCTACGTGTTGAGCATCCGGCTCTTAAGTTTTCTGCATGGAAAAAAAAAAGTTTCAGCCGTATTCAAGTCAAGAAAACTAGGGTTTTTTGATGCTTTTTATTGTCTTCCAGGAAAAAGATAGATTGACTGATCTGCTACAGTATGTCATGGAAAACAAGATCTTTATCTTCTGTTATATTGTTGTATTTGAGGAACAGTTTTCACCTTTTTTAGAGAGCATTCTTATAGATTGTGAAGTAAAATGAGAATCATCATAAATGATACTGAACAAAAATCTAATTTTAGGAATACGTTTTTAGAAAAAGCAAGACGTTTTCTTTAGGGAACCTTTTTATTATTTTACGCTGCTCGTCTTGTTACTCTCCTTTCCCTTTATCACTTCTTCACTCCGTAATAAACTCCATCTCCCCCCTCCACCCTCACCCCTTCCTTCCTCCCACTCTGCCCACATGGCCCCCAGAGCCCGTCTGAATCAGAGATCAGAGGTGTCTTCCCGGCACCGCTGCGCTGCAGTCTCCCTCCTGCTGACTGCTCCAAATTCGTCATACATCTGATTTGGATCAAATTACAGCCCACCATAATCACTTCCTGTTTCCACACAGTCTTCTTCCTCCTTGTTAATTACTCTCTCACCAGATCAATGGCCCTCTGCCACTGTGGCGGAGTCTCGCGGTTGCACATGGGTGATGATGATTAAGACCAGGATTGAAAAACAACATATAATAAATAATGTTTGTGTTCCTGTCAGGTCGCTGCCACACTTAATAACCTGGCTGTCCTGTATGGGAAGAGGGGGAAGTACAAGGAAGCAGAGCCCCTGTGCAAGAGGGCGCTGGAGATCAGAGAAAAGGTAGGTCAAAGGTCATCTAACACCATGAAAAAACTGATTCAGAAGCTGTTAAACACATGATAGGAAGCCATTACGAAGCAGATGTGTTATACTTGTTCTCCACAGCCAACATATGCTCAGTTTGTTCTTCACCAGGCGTTAAGCTTTCACTTTGAAACTAAAGTTTACTTTCGATTCACTTTCAGACAAACTGTGTGTCCTATTTAGGCAAACAGCAGTGAAACACTAAGCACTGGATATATCACTCAAGATGGTACCCTTGAGCTGTAAGGCTACAGAATGGAGGAAAAACGCTTAATGTTTCTACATCCTGTTAACCTTTCATTTTAAGAAGTATACAGTGAGGACATTGAAGGATTTAATATTCCAAATTCTTTGTTTGATTTCACACAAAAGTATACCAAAGCATCTTCTCATCTCGATCCAATGATGCATATTTTGCCTGAAATGACGTCATTTGATTTGATCAGTTGTAGATGGCAAGCAAAATCAATTATATTTATATGGCCCAAAATTACATATCACAAATTAACCGCATGGACTTGGGGTTAGTTAGTTAAAACAAAATCCGTCTTTTTTTTACCCCAGTTCCATATAAGGAAATAATTTAAAAAAAACTTTTCATTGGGAGAAAAATGGAAGAAACCTTAGAAAGGGCAACACTGTGTTCACACTCTGCAACCAAGCAAATCTAAGCTGGATGAAAAAAGGCTCCATTCTCTCTGCTGTGTGATGAAAGTCACTAGATGTAGCTGGACAAGATAAAGCATGCAGCTTCATATTTATTTATTTGACCAGAAAGTCCCATTAAGACCAAACATCTCTTACATGACATAAGATAAGCACCCAATGAAATCCCTTGCTTTGACTTTGTCCTTGGTAGAGACACCATAATCCAACTTCCAAATGTCACTTTGAAATACCCATGCAAACCACTTCCCTTCCCCTCTATGCTCTCCTCATTTCTCTTGTGTCTTGACTAAATGCATAAGAAATGTAACTGCTTTGCTTCTTCACCCATGTTCTTAGTATTTCATCGTAATGTCCGCTTATTAGACTTGCATTGTTCTTTCTTGACTCAAGAAAGTGGGTCATAGGCCAGCCTGTACGTAGATCAGTGGAGATAATCATCTTTATTGTGTCTGACCTCTAGTTTGGTGCTTACAGAGATGCTGCTCAGCAATCCTGAAAGTGCAGACAGCATTTCTCACTCACTACTCCCGCCATCCTCGGCTCCTGCCTTTGAACATTTCTCCTTCGCTCTCTTTTTCACTCCTCTGAGTATGAGACGTCAGCTTTGGTTATCCTGAGCGGTTTCATTTTTTATTCTTTTGCTTCTTAAACTAAAATGATAATGCTTTCGCTTAAGCTTAAGGATTTGCAGCTGAGTTTCCCCTGCACAGGCGAGATGGCTGCTGCAGAGCTGCTGAATCAGAAAGCTTCTACTGACAGTTTGCCTTTTTAAAGAAGCTCAGGTAAACTCGGCTTACCAGCGAGTTTGCTTTGCATCAGGGAGATGGGGATGAGCTATAAACTGATACAAAACATTTTGACTACTATAGTCAGACATTCAAACATTTAGTTGCTGAATCCAGGAGGATTCTGCGCTTTGTTTCACGTTAGGAATCCAGATCTGATACTGATCCAAGTGGTTGTATGAAGTATTCATAATGAATATCCATATTTTCTATAGAAGTATGATTTTGTTCCAAATGCAATCTAATAAGTGTTTGGATAAGTTGTCACCTAATGACTGACTGAAGAATATACAAAATGTTCCAAACTATATTGCCACTAAACATTCTATTAAAGGAATAATATAGAATTTGTATTCGACTCAATCCCACTTAAAACACCAATTACCCACTAGGGTACCATATAGTGAAAATGGTCTCTAGGAAATGCAACAGTTTGTTTGATTGTTTGATTTATTGCTACAGTGACCTGCTCTAATTGAGCCCTTATAAAAAATGAAAATATCGACTAGTTTTGAAAGATTTCTGTTTTCAGTAGGAGTTAAACACAGGCTGTGGAACTTATATGAAGCCTGGTAGGAAAAGTGTAACATATTGCCAGCCTTTTCCTTCTTGAATGGAAAAGACTAATTAAATTCTGTCTCAAAATGAGGACAGAATACGCATAAACTTCTCTCACAAAATTGTCTGAAGTTTAAAGCTAAAACTTTGGATAACAGTGCAATTTTTTTCTCTAACTCAAAGCACATAACAACGATTTAATCTGACTGTATTTTGACTAGAACAGCAGTATTCTTGTCTGCTCAAATGTCCTTGAGCTGGAAACTGAAGCCCTACCTGCTGCTAGCTGTCTTTTAAACTGACTGCTTTGTTGAAATATGTTAGTCTGTCACAGAGGGATAGAAACTAAATCCTAGATTCCTCAGAAATCCCCATATCCAGTAAATATTTGGATAAAACACAGATTCAGTCGATGCCCTGTAAGTAGAGGCTCTTCGGCTTGATTTAAGATGAAAGTTTCCCAAAGCTTCCCGGAAACCACTTTACACTGCAGCACTTTTGGTATTTTAAGACATGACGGCCATCAATAAACACAATCAATTCCTCGGTGACCCAGACCTCACCGTCCAGCATGGCTTATGGCAATCCTTTTCTAGCTAACGATGTTTACAGGAGAGCTGTCAGATGTGTGATGCAAAGGAGGAGACTGAGTAAATACTGTAGGTAGATATCTCTGCACCATCCTGTGGATCAGAGATCTTCCAAACTGAGGGGGAGGATCCTGTAAGGGTTTGATTTCAGACCCTACAGACATATTCTTTAATAATCTAAAGCCAAATCTCCCCCAAAGGCTTGACTTATGTCTCTGATACTCTTTCATTTTTCACATCAAGTGCTTTCTTTCTCAGATTTTCCTCGGCACTCCCTCCCATCGTGTTTTTTCTGAAGTGGTTTCTCAATGCTGCAGAGAGAACTGTCTTTCTCTGACCTAATGTCATTTTCTCTTTTGCATTCTCTACTCGTTCATCCTCATTCAAAAGGGGAGTGCAAGGAAGGAAATGAGATTTGAGGTCTAAGCCTGTCTCCTTTTCTTTCCCTCTCTTTTCTGCATGTTCATTTCCCTCTTACACTCCCTGGTCTCCTTTTCTTTGATGGTCAGTCAGTCTCAGTGAAAACCCTGTCTACAGTTTTCTAGCTCTGGCCACCTATTCCCTGGAGATAATTCTGAATCTCTTTCAAGCTTACTGCACTTGCCACTAATGGCTACTCAGTCAGCACATATCGACAAAATCACATCCACTTAAAAAAAAAAGAATCGTGGTGCTTCTGTTGGCTGTGTGCAGAGATAGGGGGGAATATCGTTATTCAAAAAAAGAATGCTGTTTGTTCTTCCATTGATGCGTTTGTCCACTGGACTCCGCTTTTATTTAATCAAGCGCGTCAATAGTCCACAGGTCGAAATCCATCAGAAGACACCTCTGTATGTTAGATAGAATTGTGAACAACAGTTAAAAGATGAAATTACCAATTTGGCAACCAGGTTTTATGGGGCTCAAAGTATTAAGGAGGTTATGTGTTCACTGTTTGTTATTGGGAGATTTTCTCATGTCTTATATTAGATTCAACCTGAACTGCAGGAACATCACAAACAAACCGCAAAAAGCCGAGCAAAAGTCAATGCAACCTGGCAAGAGATGTAACAAATATTCCCAATAGTCAACATATCGGCAAGCCACTCTGTATTCCAAGAACATTTGGACCTAGAGGTGGACCCAGAGGGATTTTCAGAAATGAATGATTTCCAAAGTTTTCTAGCCAGTTGTACACACCACAGGTCTAGGCATCAGGTGGTTTCAGGCTGTTGGTATTTCCACCCCCTGTTGACCAAATGGCCCAATGTCAGACACAGGTTGTCGTCTAAAGCTTGTTATGTTTTAAGTACCGAGTGTTGTTTTAACCGCCTCTCGTCTTGCTTCCGTCCCAGGTGCTGGGGAAGGACCACCCGGATGTGGCCAAGCAGCTGAACAACCTGGCCCTGCTGTGTCAGAACCAGGGCAAGTACGAGGAGGTGGAGTACTACTACATGAGAGCGCTGGAGATCTACCAGACCAAGCTGGGCCACGACGACCCCAACGTGGCCAAGACCAAGAACAACCTGGTGAGGGGTGGAGTCTAGGATTTGGAAAAACGGTTTAATAGTAGATATTTGTTATATTAATAACAATAAGTAAAGGGGTTTAAATGGATTTTAAGGATTCTGTTAGATGCTAAATGAATGCTTAAGTGTTTCCCAGTTAAACTTGTGTTTCATTCTAAGTTTTGTGTATATATTTCAAATGAGAGTTTATTAACTACGTACCTAAAATCAACATTGCAGTACTGAAGCCCAGTAACACCTGAAAAAAAGCAATGTAAAATGTGTTTATGTGCCTCTGGAAGATTGGTAATATTAGCCATCCTCGTGCTTTGTATAGTAGGTGGCAAGAAGAGCTACATATGGGCCAAAATCTGAATCGGCAAGAGCCTCTATAGTTTTCTGTCCAAGAGCAACCTGAGCCTAAACCTCAACACCTGTCCCGGGCCATAACTAGAATAAAAACCAAGATTTCTACTGCTAAAAAAATTGAAATGAGTACGGTATATGAATGCTACATTTTTACTTTAGGTATTTTAATTGTGATAACAAACATTTTGTGTGACACATTTTACAACATGCTACTTCTCTTACTGAACATTCAAAACATCCCAAACACTTTTATTGAGCTTCAATGCTACTCTTCATAATTCAACCCCATGATTTAATCACAATTATTATGTTCAAGTACAAATTATACAACAAATGTAACAACTTAGATGCCACAATTGTCACTTAATAGTACTTGCAAAAAAGAAACGTAAAATACTTGATAAATGTTTTAAATATTGATCTCCTCAGGGCAACTGCCTTTGTCTCATGTACAGTGTCCTGCTGACTCTTAATGTCTGGTTTCTGTGTTCCTCAGGCGTCATGTTACCTGAAGCAGGGCAAGTTCAAGCAAGCTGAGACTCTGTACAAAGAAATCCTGACCCGTGCTCACGAGAGGGAGTTCGGCTCTGTTGATGGTACGACATGTGACTGGATTATACACACACGTACACACACATTTCAGCCAGTATCATCTCACCCAGACTCACTTCAAATACCACAAACAAACATCTGACATATCTGACAACCCCTGCTGGTTTATTCTTCTAATATAAAGGTTAATAAATTCAGGCTGCTGTTATTTTTTCATAGCTGTAAACAAAAATGACCTTTCAGCTGAAAAATAAAAAAAGGTTTACTAGTTCAGAACCAGTGACTGTTGTTTATCTGAGTGGATGTTTGTCCGTACTGATGAACTTCCTCCCATGTGTTTCTCTGCAGATGAGAACAAACCAATTTGGATGCATGCTGAGGAGAGAGAGGAACAAAGCAAGGTGATTAATATCTGTTCATACCTCGCAGATTGTCAAACCGACTTCAATGGAATTGGAAAACACGTATCATTCCAGTATTTTCTTGTAATGTGAACCGATATATTCTCAATTTGATGTTTTAATGTGGGCCCACAAGATTGTATTATACTTTCAAAAGACACATTTACCACTGTAGTTAAACACATTTTAATTTCAATGAACGGCAATCCAGAAGGAACATCCGACCAGATAAGAAAATGCTAAGTAACACTGAGAGCAGCATTTAAACTGCTCCGCCAGATTCATGATCGTATTAAAGATGAAATGGGAAAGATTTACTTTACAAAGAGTTGGATTAGCAGATTAAGTCTTGGTAATAACCATCCATGTGTGAGGACTCGACATTTCCCAACCAGAAGTTCATTTTAGTCGAGGTTTAAACGGTTTTAGGGAAGGAATCCTGACTCCAGTATAATCCCATCATTTAACATCACTTCATGATACCTTTGATGGTATTAATAAAAAAAAGCGTCTATTTGTGAAATGGGTTAATTTTTATCCTTTTAATGTTCAATTCCCTTCATGTTTTAGTTCACAAGGCTGTGGTACTTTTCCTGATGTTAAATGTTCGGGTTAGTAGATTTCGATTCCCTTAAAACAGTTTTGTAGAAAGCTTATGAACATGGTTTTTCTGTCTTAGGGCAAGCAGAAGGACGGCTCACCTTTTGGGGAGTACGGAGGCTGGTACAAAGCCTGCAAAGTGGACAGGTCAGTGTTTCTGATTAATTCAGTGTCTGAGGGAAGATGGGTGGGAAACAAAACAAAATGTTTTCTAATGTTGCCTTAGAAAAAGATAGAAATAAAGGATTAAAGCTTTAATTCTCATACTGCAATGGCCACAAAATGAATTTACGTGTCATAATGAGAAATGCTGGTTCAGCCGGTTTATATCAAATGAAAGCGGTTTCAGCTCATTCACCAGACAGGACCAGCAAAACCAGAAAATCCTCCCAACTGTAATAAAATCATCCAGGAATTCGATATAGAAATAGCAAAGTAAACACAATGTTTTTTCGAGATGGGTGTTTTTCAGCCCTTTGTGTTCATCACCTGACCCACTCCGATCGATTCTGCTGATCTGGGATCCAACTCTGATACAAAATCATATTAAGCTGATTTTTATAACAAAACAGACATATTTTAGTTAATTTAGAAAAAGACCTTACCCTGTGTGTCATTGTTTTGCTCTTCTATCCAAAGAAATTACAGCTTAATTAGCTATTAATTGGTGTTTTTGTCGAGTTAAAGTGGACCTATTATGCTATATTGGAAAAATATATTGTAGGGCCATACCTGTACAAAACATGTCTGTGAAGTTTTTTGCTTAAAATACCAAACAGATCACCCATTGTAGACATGCCTCATTCTACTCGTACCTCAAAACGCGGATTTTGGGTCCTTAGTTAAAAAAAAAAAAGGGGAGGCGGAGCTAATCAGAATTCTACCGGAGATAAAGTTAAATTCTGCTGTGATAAAACGCCATCCTGTTTAAACCACGTTCAAGGGTTATTTCTGAAATAGTATGGAGCTCAAATGCTTTTTGCTCTTGCGGGTTTATCACAAGATGAGTTCCTTTTTTTATTTCCTGCTTTTTAAACACATGTGCTCTTCAGTACAGGTTAGCTCTGAGTGTTAGCGAAGTTTGCTAATGTAAACAAAGACAACATTACGTCCAAAACACGTCAGGCATTGTTTCTGATAGAATCTTTCTGTGGGTCCACCATCCGAAATTACGTAATATCGGCAGCAAATCTGTATCCGCTCGTTGTACCCCCGTCTTTAAAAGATGTGGGCACGGAGGAAAAGAGAGAGGGTTTTATTTATACACGGCGTGAGTTCCCTGACGCACCGGGGACACATATTTATGTATAAAAGACATCAAAAAGGTGCATTTTGCATGATAAAAAAAGCCTTTTATATTCTCTCTCTGCTATGATGTTCCTCCTCCTTGTTTTGCAGCCCCACAGTGACGACCACCCTGAAGAACCTGGGCGCCCTCTACAGGCGGCAGGGCAAGTTCGAGGCGGCCGAGACCCTGGAGGAAGCTGCCATGCGCTCCAGAAAGCAGGTGTGGTCTCCATGACTAATAACGCAGGACTCCTGGCTTCAGTTAAAACGTCACTGTCAGTGTTAAAGCTGAAGGGGTTCAATAAAAAGGGTCGGCTCAGAATTAATAGCAGATAAAAAAGGTAGATAATGTTTAATAAAGTGAAAAATAGGGATGAGATAATAAACTGAGATGCTGAGAAGCCGGCAGTTTTTCACCTCCTCTCATGGTGGGCTACTTATGAGCCTTTATTGGGTTTCATGTGGAGATAAAAAGTGGTTTTATCCAGAATTAAGATTTTCTCTGAGAATGTAATTATCCTCATCTCTCAGTTGGGCAGTAGTACATGTTACATTAAACTGGATTCATTTAGTGCCTCTCTAGCTGGAGAGCGTTAAGCTTTGGTAATACGATTATTTATACCTGTTTACAATCCGATTACATTCATTTAAATCAATATTTTGAATTGACAATTCCTCTAAAATGTTTTGGTTATTTTTCGTTTTTTGTGTCATTTAGTTAACAGGACAGATGTTAACCATGTAATAGAGAACGGTGATCATGGTGTTGAATCAGCTTTTCAAATATTCATGCACTTTGTGAGAGGAAGACGCCTGAAGTAATTTTTACATTTTAAATAATGCATGTCCAACAAATGTATTGCTTTTTAAATATTCAGTACAGATTCAAAGGTCGCATTAGGTAAATGTAAATAAAGGTAAAGTAACAAGCAATTACATTCAGACGCCGTCACTGCTCTGGTGTTTTTCCACCATGAATCATCGATTCTTCAGACGGAGATGTCTTTGCATTCGTCCGCTTTCTGGGGAAACACGATCATTGTTTAGCTTTAACTATTTAAAAAAAAAAGCTAATTCCCTTACAGAAATGGTTCCTTGGGAGAAATCATACTGAATCAGCAATGAAATGCACATTCTTCAAATGAAAACTTTAAGCCCCCCTCTACTTGTTTTTATTGTTTCCCTTCATTTGATTATTAAAGCTTGACTCTGCAGAGTTTAACACTAGGAAGCAGTTTTCTCATGAATCTGCTGAAGAGGGAAAGTTTGTATTTAATCACCTTAAATCTAAGTTTAACATCTACTGTGTAAACAGGACGTAGTGAAATTACAACACGTCTTCGACAAATATTAAAAAGCACAATGACTCCTATCAAGTACTCCTATTTGCTCTTAATGGTGTAATCAAATTCCTCGTACGTGTAAGCCTACCTGGTAATAAACCTGTGTCTGTTTCTGATTCTGAATACATATTAGTGGTGGCAGCTCTGATTCTCAGGAAGAGGAGAAAACAGCTTTCTGTTTCCTTTTGAGAAACCAGTTGTGCTTTTGTAACTGCTTTTGACTTTGCTGAATTAGTTTGTCCAGCTGGTGTCTTAATACACAATGTGAGTGTGTGCCAGAGCCTGGGTTCAGTGCAGCAGGTGGTAGAAGTCTAAAGCTTTAATATTAATTGGAATGGATTAATTGGGTCCTGTCAGCTGTCCAGAGGCCGTGTGTGTGTGTGTGTGTGTGTGTGTGTGTGTGTGTGTGTGTGTGTGTGTGTGTGTGTGTGTGTGTGTGTGTGTGTGTGTGTGTGTGTGTGTGTGTGTGTGGCATTCAGCTTAAATGCAGGTGCAGAGGTGTTCAGCTTCTGCTTTAACTGGATTAATTACATTGACATTAATTGCTGTTTTGTGTATCCTGGTGTTTGTGTGGCTCAGGGTCTGGACACCGTGCATAAGCAGCGCGTGGCGGAGGTCCTGAGCGAGCCCGAGGCCCGCGAGAAGCAGCGGAGCCGCGAGAGCTTGACCTCCGACACGGTGAAGTACGAGAGCGGGCCAGACGGTGGCGAGGAAGTGAGTATGAGCGTGGAGTGGAACGGGGTAAGTACAGTACACAGCCCTACACACATCTGAGAGTCTGCACACATACACAGTTCCTTTCTGGACAGAAGCCACATGCTAAACATCCTGTTGAAATAGATGTATGAGACACACAGTGTATATACTGTTGCTACAGAGAGATGTCCATTATTTTTAAATCTGGAGCATCAACGGCTGTACTTATATACTATGTGCTAGTGCTGGGGTGTGTACAGTAGACGTGTTGTCGTCATTATAAGATAAAAAATGTAAATGATAATCAGGTTTCCAGTGGTTTCTGTCAAGAAAGATACTATGAGGTTACTTAACTCTGATGATAACAGTTATTTAAATGAGAAACATGTCAAAGATATGTCATTACTCTGCTACACGTAGTTTGCTGATTGACTGTCAGAATCCTCTCCTGCAGTAGCTGTTGCTTGAGCTTCACTTTTACACTTTGATTAATAAAAGAAAAACTTTTCTTGGCTGGATGTTGAGTCTCTCACAGTAGGTGCTTCAGTTGTAATGTGTTACATTTACATAGTGCTTTGATCATAGTAAACCACTAAACTCTCTCTTTCTAAAGCTTTTCCAACTAACTCTCTGTAAAAGCTGCTCTCCCAGCCGTAAAGCCGCTGTGGTTTCACATGGGAACTCCTCTGCTGCTGCAGAGCCACTTTCCTAACGTTTCTCTGCAGTATTTTCTCAGCTTCTAGTGACTGCAATAAGAACATGTAGATGTAGAATCTCTGCAGGCTGCTCTCCATCTTTCTTCTGCGGCTGCTGACTTAGCAACAGTAGTCATAGCGCCCTGAACAACCAATCAGCATCGCCCCTCATACACACTGTCAGCTAGTTATTATCCTCCAGCCTCCTGCAGACAATCTCACATCAGCAGCTGATCTCTGGACCTATTTATATCAGGAAGCTGCCTGTCGGACCTGGAAGAGCTGCAGCTGGAAGTTTGATAATGATTTAGTAAATAATGCACAAAAAAATACAATACTAACCTTTTTGCAAACTATAACTTCTCATACATTTGGTCAATATTACATGACCAAAAAATAATGGGCAAAATGATTGACAATTCTACAACTTCTCCACAACTCACACTCCATTTAATTTAAGGGCTGCATTTGATGGTTTAGGAAAAAGCCTAATCACATATTGTACCTTTGCAGTTCTAATGACTGTTATAAGTGACATAAGACTGGCAGGAGCAGTTATTATGATCTCCCTGAGATGGATATAAACATAGTAATATGTTATTTTAACCCTCCATTGCTTCACTGTAGCTGTCAAACCACATGTTTTTCTTCCAAGCTGTCGAATATATTTTCACTTCCACTCCAGCTCTCTCCACAGGCGTTTCCTTTCACTTTATTATAAATAATTCCTCTGAGAAGCAGCGTGACTCTTCAGTGTGTTCACCTGACTCAACACGGGCTCTGTACTGTACTCTTTCTGTGATATCTGTGTCCACTGTGATGTTTGTACCTGTGTGTTTATGTGTTGATGAACCTCTGCTTTGCATCTGTGTGACGACCCGCTGCCTGAGAATGAGAAGTGTGATTTATTTTTATTATCTTTGTGTCTTTCCTTTGCTTGCTCTGTCAGCATGTTGGCAGCCAGAGAGGAGTACGTGTGTATTTAATCAAATGCACAATGCTGCAACAATTGAATAAACTTAAATCTAGAGCTAAAAATGGTTAATTAATTCATTTGTAGATACAAAATAAATAAAATGTATAAATATTACTCAGTTTTTAGCTTTACAAGTGTGTATATTTAGCCTTTACATTTCTATGTGAAACTCTGAAATAGTACTTGATATTTTAAGTCTAAACGGTCAGTATTGTACTGCCACATAAAAAAGCAAGAAACAGATCATATATAAAAGAATATGATATAGAGAGTATTCGTCTGGCTGCTCTCATCCTTCTCCTCCCGGCATCCCCTCTGTGTTTGTTTTGTGGTGCTCTTACGGAGTGTAATCTGTTCTTGTTGATGTGAGTTGTGCTCAACAGATACAGACACAGTATCCCTCCACCATAGTACACTGTGCTATAGCTCCACCTGGTGGAAACTCTGTGGATCACAACACAGTAACTAAGCAGAATGAACAACAGACAGACGTGTTATAGTATTATTTGAATTGTGTTATATAAACCAGCCTAATGACATGAACCAGAGTTGATAGGCATGATGTTTTTTGGAGGCTTTATTCCCAGCCTGTCTGAAGCTGTGCAGCAGAATTGTATCAATATGTGAATTAAAAATACTTCATTGATTCCTGGGAACATTTGATTTAATTTGCTTTTATTTTAGAATGGAAATGTAGATAAACACAGTTATATTGTTAGATAAATATAAATATATTGCAGTATGTATTTTGTATATGACGCACATATTTGTTACATAATACCAACAGAAAATATGGAATGTCAAAAAGTATATATTTGTATATAATATATTTAAATGACAATAATAACACTGAAATTGAGGTCAATAATGAATAATAATTAATCCCAGAGTCGATCAGATTATTGCAAATAAACATAATACTATAAAACAAACTTTTAAGTCAGTATTTAAGGATTAAGCTGCTGACTCTTACATAAGTCAGAGTCCATTTAAAGTTCACTTATTCAGTGTGATATATATTATATATCACTGTCACTTGTGAAGCAGGTGTGAATTATATCTGAGCAGATTCAATCTTGCTAAATCTGTCAGTTCCTCCTGGGTTTGTTTTGTTTCTCTGAGTTAACGAGTCAGTGGGTGAGACCAGAGGCAGTTTGGACCGGACTGTGGAAAATGGCCTCAGAGAAACTAAATACTGAAATCTGCTCGTTCGCACACGCTGGTGGAGAAACACTGTGTCTGATCTGTGACCTCGATAACTTGATCAGTCTCTCTAATCTGCTTCTCTTCCTCCTTCTCACTCACTAAATTCCTCCTTTACAAACGTTCTCTCATCTCTTTTATTTCTCTCTGTGTGTTTCTCTCTCTTCCTGCTCCGTGTGACCGGCAGGCATAACTCCAGATGCCTTGTAATGGTTCTAAATACACTTGTCTTCTGCATGACGGACGCCTCGCCTCCACGCTTCAGCTTTGCCGTTTTCTTCAGCTCTGACTCCCCCCCACCCCCTCTATCTTATTCTCCTCCCCCACCTCTGGGTGTCTTGATGGGGATCCTTCACTAACCGGAGCTATAATGTTAATAAACCCCTCTCTGTGCTGGGTTTTGTGGGTAATGTGGAGGCAGCTTGTGTGTCTAAATCCAATGTTGTGCTTCGGTATCTGTCTTGAAGCGTTGTATTGGACTGTGTGTTTCTGCTGTGGGGGGATGAGACCGGGGGGATGTTTCTTTATATCAACACTAAACTCTTCTCATGTTGTTCCTGCTGCCCTTTATCTCTGCTTCCTCTCTTTCTGTCCCTCTCTGCTGTCTTTAACCGTTCACATTAGCTGTAGACTCATAGATAGGCTGTTTGGGGTGGATGTGTAAAGGAGATCAACAGCACGCCCTAAAACCAAATCTCTGCCTGCTCCCTTGTTCTTTTAAAGCCTAACCCTCTCCATTTTTCACCTGGACACCCAAACAACAATTGCTATGTTATTTGATTACTTGGAGCTTTAAACAATGAGGCAACATCTGATACCAAATGCACCAAAAGTGTGTATATATTTCAACATACAGTATAACATAGTAACCTTTTTTTTTTTTTTTTATGACTGTGTCTTGGCCATTGCTTCATCATATCATTAGTGACCTCCTGAGCATCTGCTATTATTTTTACATATAACTGTAACGCAATACATGATTGTCACTAAAAGCCTTGCCTCTACATTACAATAAAATATAAAAAAGAATTGATTAATTAATTTTTAATAAAAATTCAAGTTAATGGCTAATAAAGGCATAACAAGACAGAAATATATAATTCTTTCTTTTAATAGAAATATTTCTTCTGCCCGTAAAGTGTCCAAACCAGGCTTTTCTGGATAAGCACATTTTTAAAACAGTCATTGTCCATGCCGGTTTCAGTTGGATTATTTGTCACAGTTGCTCCGATCAGATCGGTCTCCTCCATTTTGTAGATTATTTACCACTTTTGAATCAAAAAATGTGTTTAATCTCTGAAATGTGAGGATTTGCCTCTGAAATCTGTCACTTGTTTCTGTCTTTATTAAGATAAAAACAATACATTGATTAATACAAAAACATAAGGGGAGAACTTATCACTAAAATAAGGAATGGATAGTATAAATGTTATGTCACTAAACAAATACAACCTTTATTCCAGGTTTGAAATGGTCAGAGTTATACTTTGAACACTAACCTCTCTCTCTCTCTCTCTCTCTCTCTCTCTCTCTCTCTCTGTCTGTGAAGTCTCTCAGTTTAACTCAGCAACACCTAACCTCCCTTAGTGGTGACTCACAGTTCATTGTGACGTGCTGTAAATAACATCAGCGTTTCTCGTCAGCATGATCGAGAAGAAGCACCGTGGATTGTGGCTCTGTTAGAGTTTAGTCTTTAGTCTCTGCTGCGTGTCATCTGTTCACAATGAAATCAGAATAAACTCATGTTGAAAACTTAACAAGAGGACACGTTAAAGGTGACAGGATTCATGCACGATCTGATTAACTTCCATAGAATAGAGTTTATCTGATAAATGTGACACTTCCCACTTAATGTCAGTTTGTAGGGAAATGAAGCTTTTGTCCTGAACATAGTGCATCCTGTTACCTTCTGTATATCTCTGTAAATACATATCAGCGTGAGCGCACTAATATTGCATTTGTTTGAAATCTGGGAAATAAAATAGTCTTCTTGTCTCTGTTTCTTTGGCTAATAACCTTTCTGCGTGTCCTTCCTGTCCTGTGTGCATCTTACAGTTTGTCTTTCTTAACTTCTAATAAAAGCTAAACTCTTTGCTCACCTGAAACCTGTGCCTGTCGCCTCTTTGTGTGTCCCCTCTCTTTTCTGTGTGTGTGCCTTCATATCTAATAATAATAATAATAACCTCAGCTGCAGATCTGGCCACTTGACTCAAAGCATTTTGTAAACACTTCACACTAACACGCCTAACTTTGGAGATCTCTACATCACCACATCCTTTTTAATATTCAAAACCTGATCTGAAATGTGCTCAGAGACATATTTGTCCTAAAGGAGTAATGCCATGGTTGATTCCAGATGTCATTACATTCATTCAGTACATTTAATTGATCCTATTGGTTACTAAGAGGAATTGGGTTGATGACATGACATAAAACAGGATATGATTATTAAGTAGCAGAGACCCCGCTCATAAAGACAATTTCACTGTTTAACTTTTTCTGATTTACAGTTAATTATTTACCAATATTGATACTATCGGCCAATATTAGCTTTTTTTTTTACAGTATTCAGTCAGTACCCAGCATGCTCAGCTTCGTTATCGGCTTCACCTTCTTTCACTCAAACTAACATTACTCTGCCAGAAACACTGGTGCTTTGATTACATCCATGGAGGCTGGAATTGACTAATGGATCATCATGTCCCAGGTCATTTTACATGAACTAAATAATCCCAGTTCTGAGGGTTAAAGATGGAGTGGCCATGCAGCCTTAATAAGTCATCAATCCTGGTTTTGTTGAATTCATAAGGGGCAACACTTTTTCAAAAGACTGATCCAGGTACTTAAAAGTATGTAAAGGTGGTAGTGAGCTTAACTTCACCCGTCAAGAAGGACTCCATGTACCGTTAGCTGAAGGTGAACCACTAACAAATAGCAGCGCAATAAATAGTTCATCTGTGTGCAGTAGGGCTGCTCAATTAATCATATTTTAATCGAGATTACGATTATGGCTTGCAAACAACGTAATCGAAATAAAACGATTATTTTTGTATTACTTTCTTTTTTTTAGTTTTTTTTTTTGTGTTTCTGTTGAATTCTACTTAAAGTTCAGGGTAATCAACTGTTAAAAACATACTGTTCACATTTTTTTTCCTCCAATAAATTGATGTTTTCAAAGTCAATGAATAATCGCATTTAATAATCGCAATTGCAATTATTGACCCAAATAATCGAGATTATGATTTTTGCCATAATGGAGCAGCCCTAGTGTGCAGCATTAGTGTGCAGTTTGGAAGAACAATGCCCATGGCAACTTCACAGGTTTCCAATGAATGTGCATCAATCTGCGTTACTGCATCGTGAAGGCACATGGTGTTTTGCATTGAAAAGATCGTGCCCCTTTAATGATCAATATTAGCGTTTGACCCATAAACCCTTTTGTTTAAATCTGCAAGTAAAACCTCAAACTTGAAAGAGACATTCAAATGTAAATGTTATGTCCCAAGGAAACCTTAATATTAAGACTAAATGTGCTTTGTTGTTTTAGCCTACATATACTGTATAGCATTTTAAATTATTTAGACTTGGGTCACATGGGTCTGACACTAATGTCCAGACAGGACGAACACTCTATGACTGTGTGGGTGTGTAAAAGCACTCTTTTTAAAAATAAAGAGTGTGTGTGTGACAGAGTGTAACGCTGCGCCCTCTCCCCTCAGGACGGCTCCGGCTCTCTGAAGAGGAGCGGCTCCTTCAGTAAACTGCGAGCGTCGATCCGCCGCAGCAGCGAGAAACTCGTCCGCAAGCTGAAAGGCGGCGGCTCGTCCCGAGACAGCGAGCCCAAAAACCCCGGGTAACTATCCCCATCATGCACCTGGTGACTCTCACTTTATGCACTGGAGGAAGGAGCCGGCACTAACCAAAAAAAGAAAGAAAGAAGGGATTCGCTGTACTTTGCTGGCGGTGAAGTCACTTTTAAGCTGTTTGCACATGAAATGATGGAGGGAGCTTTCACTGACACTCACTCTGGGCCTTTCCCCTCACATCGGTTCACTCTGTTCTCCACTACCTCTGGACAGTGACTTTATTCTGCATGGTTTGGTCGAGCTGTTATTAAATATAAGGACCACTGTTAAAAAGAAAAACTGTAAAAAGTAATGTTGCTTTCAGAATAAAAAGACAAAATATAACAATGTCATTTACTGTAGAAAAGACTCATAAGTGCAATATTTAAAGAAGCTCCTATAATATTACATGAAAACACTTTGACACAAAATACATAACATTTTAAAGTATTTTTTTTTAGTATTTGATCAAAGTTGAGCGTACACAGATTAGAGTTGCAAAACTTTAAGGTCAAATTTTGTAAGAATTCAAGAAGAAGTCATTATATTTTTAGATACAAGTTGACATAAATTCTATATAAATAGTTGTTATATTTTTAACAAAGAAATTATATTTAGAAAAAAGTTGTTAAATAGTTGTAATTTTTTAAGAAAAAGTGGTAAAATGTTTTATATTTCAAGAAAACTGTGTCTTTGTTACAATTAAAAAGATTACAGCTTTTTTCTGATAAAAAGAAATCAACCTATTCTTGTATATTGTTGACTTTTTTTTCCAAAAACCATATTTTCATTTATTATCATAGTTTTTCTTTAAATTATTACTTAATCCTTTAAGTAATTTTGAATTTAATTGTTCCTTACAGTGGTCCTAATATTCCTCCGAGTGATCAAACCTGAGCATGATTAAAGTGACCAAAGGAAACTGTAACTGAGCGGTGTGCAGAAGTGTACCGATGAAATGGGAAAATTATGCAACTGTTTCAAACTCTCTTTCTGTGACGGGCGACGTGTAGAAACTGCAACGGAAACAAACTAAAGTCTGCTTGTGAAACGCCTTAATGCTCGTTATGCCTGTGGAACTCTTGTATTTAGTTTTAACCACTAATAGTTACACCTATTTATTGCATTGTGTGGCTTTGGGACTATTTATTTCAATTTGTTTTGAAATATAGTTCTGTTTTACTCTTTGGATTTTATTATTTTCTTTGTGAATCCTAGAAAACCAACCTGTCTGCATGGCTGTTTTTTTTTTGTTATTGAATTTTTATTTATGAATAAATGTGTTCATTTGACTGTTTGGACTTGCATGCCTCGTCTGTGTGCTCCCTGGTCTCTGTTTCCTCTCTGCTCTTCTCTGTGGCTCTAAAGATGGTGGACATGGTGATGTGGCTGCAATTATCATCATCATCATCATCGACCGATTTGTGATGTTCAATCACTGCAGAAACTTTCCTTTTAACAAGTCGACAAGAAACCACCTCCTAAAATACCTAAAACACTTTCTTGAGCGCTTTTTATTGTATTTGACAGTTAGGGAGAAAAAGCCAAAGGGATGATGAACAACACACAAAGTGCTTCAGTTACCTGGTTGTGACTTACAGAACGAGGCTTTAGGTATTCCTAAGAGTTTTCCATAAAATTGGGAAGAGTTGCGACTTCCTGCCAAGAAAATGGGGCCAGTTTTAGATGCAAAAAATGTAAAATACATCCAATCAGGCGTGTCTGGCACAAAACCATAAGCTATCCTCTAAGGGAGTGGGTTATAACCATAGACTGTATATATATGGTTATAACCTGCAAAACATCAGAAGAAAACCATATATTTCATCTTGAATTTGAGTCATCATTACTATTATTATTATTATTATTATTATTATTATTATTATTTTCTTTTTTTATTATTATTAATAATTTCTTGTCAGGATGGTTGCGTTTCTGCAGTGATTTTATTCACATCATTTGTTTTGGGGCATGTTGGTGTGCATGATCTTCACTGACATATAAATATGAGATGACTGCTTATCAATAAAAACATGTGTTGCAGATAACTTAAATAAAAGTGCTGTTACCATCTTCTGATAAGAAACCTTACATAAAGGTCTAACCAATAGTTTATTTTTGACTTACAATTCTTTAAACTGAAGCCATTACGCCAATAGGGTCACTTTCTTCTCACTGTTTGATAGCAATTCAAAAAAGTGTACAGAAGAAACAACAACACGGTAGTTTCCATGCAAAGAAAGAGAGCTGTTCAGCCTCTCAATTCTGAGCATGTACTATTTTTATCATATAAATAAAGTAGTCTAATTCAGAGTGTCTCTGTAACTCAAACCAAGATCAGTTAGCTGTCATGTGTTGTGGAGACACAGTGAGAAGCATTTATCTGTGATACTAACATTTGTGTGGAAATATCATGTATGTTATTAACCAACACAAACATCCTCACCTCCACATCCCCCTCTCACCCCTCAACCTTCACTCTCCACCTCCTCGCCCTTTCACCTCCTCGCCAACACATCACCCCTCAACCTTCACTCTCTTCCACCTCCCCCCCCGGTGCATGTCCCTGCTGGTGCAGCATGAAGCGGGCGAGCTCTCTGGGCGTTCTTAACGTGGCGGACAGAGCTGCCATCGACCACTACCAAGTAAGGAGACGAGGGTCCCAAGTATCTGAGTTTGTTTATAACCTGCTGGTGACCGATAAGGAAAGGTCAAAGTTCAGTTTCTATAAAGGTCCCACTGTTCTTATATTTAAGGGGAAACACCTCCTTAAATATAAGATAAGATAAGATGGACCTTTTTTGACCCGTAGGGAGATTCAGGTGTTACAGCAACAACAGAATAAGAGAGAAACACATATACAGTATATACACATGGGGGATTAAAAGAAATAAGAACAAATAAAATAAAAAATAAACGTGTAGTAATCGTATTGATGGAAATATCAAAATTACATGAGTTACATTTACAATATACATTTAAATGTGCGGGATATGTTTTGTTATTATAAGCTTACAGTAACACCAACATGTTTATAAAGCTTTATTTGCTCTTCATATCTGCTGGAAATCAGACAATAATTATTAAAAACTTTTCTTTTTAAGTATCTTCAATTAGAAATAGTATAATTAGATTACATTTAAATTAGATACTTAATTATTATTATTTTTGAACCTTCAGCTCACCTGGTTTACCAAAAGTTTAAATCTAACTTTTTGCAGATGCTTTCTGACCTGATCTTTTCTTTCATCTCATTTTGTTATTATATATAAACACACAGGCCTGTAAAGTCACATGGGAATCTGTTTGGTGTGGAAATCACGTAATAAATAACCACCTGAGTGAGACTCACACACTAACTTCACACCATTTTGATGTTCACTAATCAACACAAATTAATAACAGGGTTTTTATTTTGTTATCTTGAAGAAAACGACAGTTTGATTTGATGGGATAATGTATACTGAGGCACATCAAAATCATGATCTAATTCACCCTCATACTGTTGTTTAAAGAACAAAATGACAACCTTTTATTTTTACATTAAGTAAACATTTCCTTTATCCAAGACATCTTTGAGTCATATTTCTGTCTAAAGCTTTGAATAGTTTGTCTATAATTAGTAAAAAAAAATAAAGCCATGTTCATTGAGTGTTTTCGTCTAAATAAATATGAGTTAGAATTCAACATCAAGATCTTTTATATCACAATTATGTGGTCTTTTGATACATGGGAATACTGCTTTGAACTCGATTGTAATGGAATATCTAGAACTGTAATCCCATAGTGTGATAAGAAAACCTTTTTTAGCTAAATAGTTTGACAGATTTGGGGATTTAAATAATAAAAAAAAGAGAGAAGGAAATGTTTTTTGAATTTTCTGAATAAGAGCACACATGGTTTAATCAAACTTTTCCTTTTTTCTCCAGGAACGAAATAATCGTCTGAGTAAAAGTCGTGACCTGAGTGCCAGCCACACCGACCTGGCGCATTGAAGGTCTGTCGACCCCCGAGGAGCCTGTGAGGTCACTTCCTGTCCGGCCCCTCCTCACTGTAACC